AATGTTGAGATTATACTTAACACATTAACTTAACATCATTGTGTTACCATAGCAATGACTGCTTTCCTTATCCATCGGAGGGAAAAGGGTTTCCCTTTCTTATTTCTGAATATCGTTTATGCTGAGATACTGCAGTTACTACATTTAAAACTAGGCTACGAAACTAGTCCCAATTTAAAAAAAAATTTAAAGGGTAATTTTTTTTAAGTCTTTGTTTTTGTACTACTTTGCCACTAGAGGCACTGAAGTAAAACCTCAAAAACTAAACTAAAGGCTTTAATTTTCTAATGTAAAGCCAGAGGCCTAATCTCCAAACATCAATATCCTAATTTCTAAACTACATTTTTTCAAAGTAAAATTTGAGACAAACAACGGAACACATTCGTCACCTACTGGAGTCTAAGAGTCAACCTAATCTCTGGAAATGTGAGTCTGCCAACCATTTCTCCTCTTCAAGTTCGAGAATCAATTCTCCCACCGAACCTGAACTAACCGCAGTGTCTTCCCCTCACCTTTCAGTTCGGGTTGAGCAGTGTTCAGAGCAACAATAGAACCTCCACAAAACTTCTCAATAAACCTGTTAAAGTTTTTCCTTCTTCTCTCTGGACTGGTTTATCTGCATGTTGGTCCGAGCTCTTGATAAAATCATGACACGTGGTATGTGGCTTTCATATCCAACTTCAATATTTATGAACAATATAGAATGAATTACAGAGGTGACCCTTTTTTCATTTGCTTTTTATGGCAGGAGAAACAAAACAAATAATTTTAAAAAAGACTTAGAACTTTTCTTATCCAGATTTTCGTTTTTTCTCACTTGCCTTTCAGGGCCTCCGTATAATTTAGGGATCATTAACTGGTCTTATGTCGTTTACCTGATATACAGTGTATTAACACTAGATGGCACCGAAACAACTTCTGTTGTTCTGATTCGATCTGCTTAGGTATAAAAGCATAAATAGAACTGAATAATAGTGCTAACCATTAGAATAAAGACAAATACAGACAGAGAAACACTATTTACAGTTTTTATTGTACATAGATTTCCACACAGTGTATTATTAAATGAGTACAAACATTAATATCTGGCAAAAATAAGTGCATCTAGCTGTTTATTTTGGATATTGTTAAATAAAATTTCAGATAAGATACTGTTCCTGTGCTAAAATGTATTTTATATTAGAATAAAATTATTC